ACTACAGAGCTGGTGCCTGTGGCCTCTTTAATGAGAGAACGCCTAGTTTGAATGCTGGATTGGATTTCTCAAGCTGTCCTTCTGACAGAGGAGGCAATGTGGCACGTCAGTGTCTATGTGAACAGTGGGCTGTGCAAAACAGGCTCTTGGCCAGGTCCCAAAGACTTCAACCTGTGGTTTGCAGTGTCGCTTCCTGGGGCAAGACCACAGACATCTACCATGAAGTCCTCAGCAGCCTCCCGACAACCAAGAGGGCTGCATTTTAAGGAACTGTTCAGGATCACTCTTAACATGCATAGACTGCTTTCCATTTCCAGCTTGAATGGACTGGGCACCTTGACTGACTCTCTGAATAAAAACAACTAAAAATTCTGGTTATATACTTAAAATATCTTTTTTTAAATTTATTTTTTAATTGTGGTAAAATACACATAACATAAAATTGACCATTTTAACCATTTTTAAGTGACAGTTCAGTGACATTAAGTACCTTCACATTGTTGTACAACCCTCACCACTTTCCATCTCCAGACTCTTTTCAGCTTGCAAAGCTGAAACTCTGTCCTCATTAAACAATAACTCTCATTCTCCCCTCCCCCCGGTTCCTGGCACCTACATTCTCATTTATGTCTTCATGATTTTGATTACTCTACATGCCTCATGTAAAGGAGTCACGCAGTATTTGTTCTTTTGTGATGGACTTATCTCACTTTGCATAATGTGGTCAAGGTTGATCGTGTTGTAGCACGTGTCAGAATCTCCTTCCTTTTAGAGGCTGAATAATAGCCCGCTGTATGTGTATACTGTATTCTCTTCATCCACTCGTCTGTCAATGGACATCTGGGTTGCTTCCACCTTTTGGCTACTGTAAACATGCTGCTGTGGACACGGGTGTACAAATCCTTCTTCCAGACCTTGCTTTCAATTCTTTGGGGAATATACCCCAAAGTGGAATTGCTGGATCATATGGTGATTCTATTTTAAAAATTTTGAGGAACCACCATACTGTTTTTATAGTGGCCGCGCTATTCTACATGTTCACCAATAGTGCACAAAGGTTTCAATTTCTCCACATTGTCAACACATGTTATTTTCTGGTTTTCTGAGAGCAGCCACCGCAATCATGTGAAGTGGGATCTCATCTCCATTGCTCCAGTGATTATGATGTGCTTTTCATGTACTTATTGGTCATCTGTGTGTCTTCTTTGGAGAATATCTATTCAAGTCCTTTTCCTGTTTTAAAATCGGGTTGCCTGGTTTTTTTTCTTGTTGAGTTGTAGAAGTTCTTTATATATTCTGGGTGTTAACTCCTCAACAGGTAGATGATGTGCAACTACTTTCTCCCATTCCATGGGTTGCCTTTTCGTTCTGTTGAGTGTGTCCTTTGATGCGTGGAACTTTTACATTTTGATGTAGCCCAATTTATCTATTTTACTTTTGTTGCCTGCACGTTTGCTGTCATATCCAAGAAATGATTGCCAAATCCAACGTCCTGAAGCTTTTCCTCTATGTTTTAAGAGTTTAAAAAATATCGTTTTAAAATGTGTTGACTGACTGGCAGGTTAGTGAGTAAAGACCAAAGGCCAACTAATGAGAGAACGTGGGGACCTGGAGGGGTACGCAGGCCACTGAAACTAGCTCTTCCCTTGAAAGCATCGCTCAAGCAATTGGCTCTGGTTTTCAGGGATCATGCAGTCCAGAGGACAGGAGATAAAGCCCAAGACCACTACAGGTGGAGTCCAGTAGAAAATGCTGCATAAAGGGTGGTCTAAAACATAACGTGGCCCATAGTGTTATGCCCTTAGAGTATGGATAAACTAGGAATAAACCCAATTCTCCCCTCCCCCAAAGGATCCCGGGGGAAAGTGCCTACCTCAAACTGATACTGAGTACACAGAAGACAATCTATCCCCTGAGATCTCACAACACAGGTTTCTACCTTGAATTAATACCACCTGGATGGTTCAAAGAAACCTCAGAGCCAGAATTTAATTTAATGTAGCCCTGAGATGGCAGCTACCTGAGCATGTGGCAGAAGCAAATTCTCTCTGGAGGCAGCTACCTTCAAACTAGAGCTCAGTGAATTGCCACAACTATCTTTCCAGGCAATATGAGTTTACAGTAAAAAAAGAAATCACAAAAACACACAGAGGAATGTCACCATGTGTAAGAGCCAGTAGAAGCAAGAGTCGGCCATACCTGACCCCAAAATAATTGATTACTGAATCCGTTAGACATAGATTATAAAAAAGTTTAACACATTCAAAGAAGTAAAATAAGGGATTTCTAAAAGGCAGGAGACTAGAAAAATGGCCACTAATGCCCTCTCCCCATCTCTACTCCCTCTCACCTCCCTACAACAAGTTTTATGATAAACAAACAGGATAGTTTTACCTGTTTTTTGAACTGTATTTAAATGCATACATACAGGATGTATTCCTTTGTGTCTCTCTTCATTTGTACATTACATTGGTGAGAGTCATCCTATTTTATTTTTGCATAGCTGTAGTTAGTTCATTTTCATTGCTATTTACAACATTCCATTGCTATTCTACAACATGAACATATCACAATTTCTTTATCCATTCTACTGTTGATGGAATTTGGTTGCTTCCAGTTTTGGGCTATCATGATTAATGCTTCCACAAACATTTGTGTGTGTGTCACCTGGTGCCTATGCGCACACCTTTATGTCAGGCACATAGCTGCAGAGTAGAATCGCTGGATCACAGACTTTGGTAACAGTAGATACTGCAATAAAATTTTCCATAGTGATTGCACCAGTTTCCACTCCTACCAAAGCGCATGAAAACTCCAGTCGTTCCAAATCCTCATTAACACGATTTTATTTTCACTATCCCAGTGGCTATGCAGTAGTATCTCTTCATGTTTTTAATTTCCATTCTCCTCACTCCTCATGAGGTTAAGCACATTTTTATATGTTTATTGGCTCTTTGATATCTTTTTTGTGAAATCCCTATTCAAGTTTCTTGACTATGTTTCTATTGGATTATTCTTAAGTTGATGTATGAGAGTTCTTTATATATCCTACGTATGAACTCTTTTTGATTATATATGTAGCAAATATCTTTTCCAGATCTGTGGCTTGCCTTTTCACTCTCTTAATGGTGATTCTTTTTTTTCTTAAAGATTTAATTTTTTTCCTTTTTCTCCCCAAACTCCCCCCCCCCCCCGGTACATAGTTGTATATTCTTAGTTGTGGGTCCTTCCAGTTGTGGCACATGGGACACCACCTCAGCGTGGCTTAATGAGTGGTGCCATGTCCGCACCCAGGATTCGAACCAAGGAAACACTGGGCCGCCTGCAGTGGAACGTGCAAACTTAACCACTCAGCCACGGGGCCGGCCCCTCTTAATGGTGATTCTTGTTGAACACAAGTTGTTAGTTTTAATGGAGTCCGATTTATCAATATTTTATGGGGGTTTTTTGTGTGCGTGTCCTGTTTGAGAAGTTTTTCTCCACCCAAAGTCATGAGGATATTTTCCTATATTATCTTCCAGAAACTTTAGTGTATTGCCTTTGGAATTTACAGTCCGCTTGGAATTGATTCTGGGTATGATATGAGGTAGGGTCAAGCTTCTTTATCTCTCATACTGTGTATTTCAGCTTATCTTGTTGTCCTCAGTGAAAGGGTTGGTCTGAATGATCTATTTGCCCTTTCCAGAAGTAAAGTCCCATATATGACTTCTCACTCGCAATAATGGAAGTTCAACTGAAAAAAATAATTATGGTTAGTCTCTAAGTGTATATCCAGCAAAGTTATCATTCAAGAATGAAGGTTATCCGTGATATGACAACAGCCAAAATTAGTGAACATGGAGAAATCTCAACAACACAATGTGAGTAAAAAAGTAAGTCACAAAATCATATACACAGTATAATTCCATTTATGTAAGTAAAAACATACACGCACGTGTCCTAAAAGTATAAAAACATGCATGGGGTTGATACACAATAACTTTAGGCTAATGGCACCTCTGGGAAGTAGATGGTAGACAAAAGTGAGATGAACTTTAGCTACTGTATTTGTAAATATCTGCACTTTTTATTCCTTGAGAAAAGTGTATTACATGATGGAGGTGTGGGGTCTCGCATGCTCAGCAATACACTGTGAGCCCTTTAAGAGTCATGTGTCCTTCTGGCCCCCTTCTGGGCAGGACGCCAGGCTGCCGGGATTGGTAAGGATCCAGGGCCTGGCCAGCCCAGATCTTAACTTATCTCACTCATGGAACATCACGAAGGAACACAGAGCCCCTCCGCATGAGCTACTGCTCCTGGGAATGCTGGCCATGCCAGGGACAGCCCCTCTCAGCAAGCACATAGCCTTTGCGTCCCCTCGTAAGAAGCAACCCCCTCCTGCCCGTGGTAGTGGTACACAGCTCTGTCCAGCCGGCCGCCCCTAGACACACCCTCATGTAAGTCCCAATAACCTTATGTCTCGTACACTGTCTCCAGGTCTTTTCTTCACTCTCTCTGCAACTTATCCCACACTGCCTACACAACTGGGCGTGCAGCCAGACAGGTGGGTACATGGATGTCAGTTCAATTATATTTTGCATGTTTATATGTTTGAAATGTTTTATTTAAAAAAAATGTTTTTTTTTAAAAAGAAAACTTTGCAGCATGTCAGTCAACAACCAAACGACTAAAGTTGAATGCATGATGTAATATGCTTATATTCAATTTTAAGGTTAATCGAAGAAAATTTTTTTTCCTGAGGAAGATTTGCCCTGAGCTAACATCTGTTGCCAATCCTCCTCTTTTTTCGCTTGAGGAAGATTATCCCTGAACTAGTATCTGTGCCAATCTTCCTCTATTTTGTATGTAGGTCACTACAACAGCATGGCTGATGAGTGCTGTAGGTCCGTGCCAGGGATCCGAACCCATGAATCTGGGCCACCGAAGCAGAGCATGTGGAACTTAACCACTACACTATGGGACCAGCCCCTGAAGAAATAATTTTAAAATCCTTGACTCACGAGTCTGGCAATCTCTGGGTTGCTCAGTTGAAGGCCCCAGATGCAGATCTCTTTCCCCAGCGTGTAACACTCTTCTCGAATTGTCATAAGCAAAGGTTCCAAGGAAATCGGTGGGATGCTTGGCGGGGAGTCATCAGGTCTTACAAGTATAAACTGGAATGTAAGAAAAAACTACAGGTGGACATCATAAGGAGATGTCCATGCACCTGAATATGTGGAGAAAGAATATTGTAATTGAACAACATTTGAAGAACATTTAATAGTTATTGACTTTGGATCAGGTACACATTGAGGCGGTAACTCAAGACAAATTCATGCAGTTCCTGCCATGTGCAGAGCTCCAGGGAAAGTCCTACAGGGCAGAGATTTTCCCAGCAGGTCACTATCTATTGTTGGGTCAGGAAATCAGTTTAGCGGGTTGCAAGTAGCTTTTCTTTCTTTCTTTCTTTAATGAAATAGAAAAGGAGAGAAATTATCTGAGTGTATCCTATGCAGTAAGGAATAATTGTCTCACGAGACTTTTAATTTAGTGAGATTCAAAACCAAAATGGAGACACCATCAAAGCAACTCATCCAACATAAACAGTCCTTATGGTCATACCAAGTCACACCAGTACTTATATACTGGGTCATTACGTCAATTGTATTTCCAAAGGTGATTGTAACAAAAAAAAGTTTGAAAACATTGCTGAAGGGACTATAAATTTGAATAAGATTTATGATTTACCTTTATAATTAAATAATGGAAGCTAATTAGAAGAACTATAGTAGAAACAAATAAATTAGTAATTATTTTACCACAAAAAGGATGGCTCTGGGAAGCTCCTCCACTGGGATGAGCAGGGAGATGTGTGGGGAGCCTAGGGAAGGAACTGCAAAAGAAGGGATTAGGAAGACGGCAGATGGGGGAGAGGAGAACGGAGGAAGCGGGGTGAGAGCTGAAGAGACGGAGAGGAGAGGGTGGCAGCTGCCCTGGGCAGTGGAAGTTCAGATGGAAGAGAGAGATGGTTAGAGAGGAACTTCAGGAGGTTCTTTCTGTGTGGCATGCAATGTAATCAATCTCCCTCCCATTCCCAAAAACAGCATTCAGGAAAAACATGGGTGGGATGGATTTGGGTCAAAGTCACCTTAGAATAGTGATGATCTTTTCCTTAAGCACCCGTCTCTATTTAATTATCGTGTCTTGTTTAGCACTCGGCATTTCAGGCAATCAGTAGGTATTTGATTATTAAAACACAGACTGTCTTTCTGGGCTGGTGATAGAAAAGTCGTGAAGTTGGCAGTCTGTCTTTGCGGGCCAGGCTCCCCCTTCTGGCGTCCAGCCGCCCCTTCCCAGGAGCTGACCATTTAGTTTCAGTGCTGGCCTCCTTTCTTTTCCCCTCATACCCAATCCCGAGATTTAGTCTCAGAAGAGATATGACATCAGAATTCTTTCTGAAATCCAGGGCTTTTGGAGTCAGAATTATGTGAATGCTGACCTCACTCTAAGCGAGACGGGAGGTGGGGGTGAGCTCAGGTCTGACCTGATGACACGGGCAAGTCAGCAGTCAGGGGAAGGAGACAGTCACACGGAGGGGTCAGGGCCGTGGCTGCAGTGCTGCGGAGGGAGGTCTCGCAACGAGGAAAAAGTGGTGCTTTTGAGCTGGACTTTCCAGATGCAGCGTGGGAGAAGGGGCCGGTTGGCCGTTCTGGATGTGAAGTGGTATGAGGAAAGGGAGGCCCGTGGGAAGGCCTGTGGGGGCGGGGAGGTGGGGAAGTGCCAGTGGGCCAGGCTTTGAGCTTTGGTCAGGCAGGGATGCAGAGGGGCTGACACCACCACCTCTGGGCTTGGGAGGATGGAGGACCCATGATCATCGGGAGTAAACCCTACTCCATTTCACAGAGGTATAAACAGAGGAGACCATACGCTCACCTTCCTGAGAATCTGTCCATTGTCAATGCCGGCTTTCAGGTCCCTCTTGACGGCCGGGCACACGGACGTCCGAGTCTGTGCACAGTGCTTCTCGTACGTTCTCAGGAACTTCTGGAGAATCGGAACGACGGGCAGGGCTGCTCCTTTAGCTTTTTGTCTTCCTTCCTTCGCTCGCAGCATTGTCTCCCAGTGTTGGATTCCACATGGATTCTGAAAACAGTAACTTGCCCTGAGACCCGTCACACAGATGTCCTTTTAAGGAGCAGATCACACCTCCCTCACTAAAAACTGGCAAACATTGCGGCACATTGTTCTCTGAAAATCTTAAAGTGCTTCATTTATCTTAAAACAGGAGTAAGGAATCAAGAGTGAGACAGTCGAGTGGAATTGTTCAATTTCCAATTGCTATCTTCATGAGTCCATGTTTTTCTTTTAGATTCTTTAAAACGGGGGCAGTACCCATGGAACTCAATTCTAAAGGAATGCAGTTAACATTGATAGTGGGTACTAAATATGACCAAGGCCACATTGATTTAAAAATGGCATAATTCTCTTCATAGACACAGTTCTTGCCAGCCAGTGTATCACAGTGGCTGAGAACATGGGTTTTGGAGGTGAGCAGACTTGGACTTTAGACTTGTCTCCACCGCTTGACTCCCTGGGTGGCCTCAGATAAGTTATGAAGCTTCTTCAAGCCTCTGTTGCCCCATCTGTAAAATGGATTATGGCCATCATAAGGGTCAAGTGACGTAAATATATAAAGCACTTAGCACGAGGCCTGGCCCATCGTGGAAGCGCTCAATAAACTTATTATTATTGATGTTATTGTTACTCTGCTGGCCACAGGAAGCCACCCGATCAGTACTGATTTTGCTCTTTAAATTATCCAGTCCCAGAGGGCTCCTCCATGTGATAACTTACGTAGCAGTTGGGTCACTGAACCGAGTTCACAGAGACAAAGGTTTATGGGAATTATTGGAGTTTTCCCAAATGGGAAAGTTTCCAGCTAGAGACTGTCCAAAAGTGTGTTTATTATCTTACAGTAAAAGGGGCTCTCCTTGTTAAATCCAGGCCTGGTGGAGCATCCCAAAGAAACTAGGAGGCAGGGGCTGTCGAGAAGGGCAGATATCCAAAGGAATGCCGCTTCTTTGCTACGCTGCCATCACTTCTCCACTTGCATGACTGCAGCAGCCCAGGCCTCTTAGGGCTGTTCTCCACCCAGTCACCAGAGCGATGTTTGAACTGTAAATTAGATCATGTGACTCTTCTGCTTAAACCTCTCCAATGGTTCCCCATTACACTTATCTTGACTGAATTTCATATACACTTATTCTGTCAGTTGTTGAGAGGTATATAAATGTAAATTTGTCTATTTCTGCTATTAATTCTGTAAATTTTTAAAAATATATTTTGAAGCTATCTTATTAGGTGCCTACAAATTTAGAACTGATAAATCTTCTTGGAGGATCTACCCTTTTGTCATTACTTAATACCGTGCATCTCTAGTAATGCCTTGTGTCTTAGAGCCACAGTTCCCAAACCGTGTCCCGAGGTGCTTAGAGGGACTGCAAACCTACAGGGCACTGTGGGGTATTTTAAGTATTCAAGAGAAAACTAGCAACGTCTGTTAGATGCTATTTGAACTACTGGAGGTAGTTCACAGTTTCAGATTAGATCACACTTGTATTGGAATCCTATTGCTGCATAAAAAATTACCCCATCATGAGCGAAAAACATTCTGGAAAGTCAGAATGATCCCAGCAGAATGTAGAGACACTCAGGTACTGGGGTAAGGGAAACTCACAATATTTTAGCTCTGGTTGGGACTTTACAGATTGTCTAATCCCAGGGAGCCATCACGAGGATGACCAACTGTCCTGGCTGTGAGTGCTAAAACCAGGAAAGTCCTGGGCAAACTCTCCTGGGAAGTTGTCTACCCTACCACTTCCCTCACCCATGGCCATTGGCCAGCTGCAGCCTCAGAATTCTGCTCCCGGGTCCGCTCCAGGCTGCTGCAGAGCAACCAGACTTGGCAGCTACCAGAAACCTATTTGCCATCTCGGGCCTGGGCTAACGTCTTGTTTCACACGTGATAAAAGAGGGGCTCAGGAAGGGAAGGAAGGGACTTGATCCAGCTGAGAACAGAACTGGGCTGCTGACTCCCAAGACTGTTTTTGGAAACCATCCCAGGTGAGTCCTACCATCTGGCGATTGGCAAAGACTGGCATGGCATTGTGGGAGCGGGCGGCTCAGATTTGGGTCAAGAGGGACTGGTTTGAATCCTGTGCCTGTCAATTATTAGTAGGCTGATTGTGGGAAATCACTTCTCTGAAACTCATTTTCTTCATCTGTAAAAACAGTGGGAATATCACCTCTTTGGTATTTGTGAGGATTAAATGAGACCACATATGCAGTGTTCTTCATCAGTAACATGGGAGTGATGGTGAGAAAGAATTGTTCTGAGGAATAATGAGTTACTACACGACCAATGCTAAGAACAGAGCCTGGCACATAGTAAATGCTTTGATGGGGAATCTGAGCCGGGTTAAGTGACTTGCCTAAGGACAGACACAGGCAAGTAGTGCAGTTGGGATTCCAATTCAGGCCATCTGGCTCCGGAGCCAAATTCTTAAGCAGTGTAAGGTACCACCTGTGCCACCTGTACTCTGTAAGGTACTGTTATGGACTAAATGCTTGCGTCCACCCAAAATTTATATGTTGAAGCCCTAACTCTGGGTGTGATGATATTTGGAGGTGGGGCCTTTGGGAGGTGATGAGGGCTAAGTTGAGATCATGAGGGTGCGGCCTCAGAGCTGGTCAGATGGCTGCCATCTACAAGCCAGGAGAAAACGCCTTAAAATGAAACCTCCCTTGCTGGTGCCTCCATCCTGGATTTCCCAGCCTCTGGAACTGTCAGAAACAGATTCCCGCTGTTTAAGCTACCAGTCTGCTGCATTTTGTTGTGGATGCAGAGCTAGGACGGGTGCTATACAATATCACTGTGCACAATAGGAAGTATTTTTCACCAGTCCGTTCCGGGTATTTACAGAGGCACAAAGTACACACTGATACATTCTACAAACACTCTGTTAAGACCCTCTGCAATCTTGAGTTTTTCACTTAATATTTTATCATGAGCATTTCTTTATGTCATTTCCATATCCGGTAGGTGTGTGGCCCGAGGCAGCAACCACCTAGGTTCTTAGGGGTAGCATTGATCCGCTGAGTCATGAATGGATGTCTCCTGGAGGTCTAAGGAGTGTGTGCCCCACCCTACGCTAGGTGTGCTTATCCCACCTGAGGTGACTGTCCCCTCCTCGGCATTGGCGGGGTGGGGGCTGCAGGGGTGAGGGTGGGGGCGGGCAGGCGGGCCCTGCCGTCTGTCCCGGCTCTGAGTGCCCTGCTCGCCAGCTCAGACGGCTGCTGGCTGTCCCTCGGAGTCTCAGGGACAAGGAGAGGGCCGGCAGGAGGGGCTGCTTTCCGCTCCCTTTCCAAGGCTCCCGAGGCACGCAACAATTTCAGTAGATTCCGGAGAAAATCCTCACCACCCCTCGAGGCCGGGAAGGGCCCCTGCGGTGCGCCGGGCCCCGGGAGGGCGGGATGGGGAGCTCGGGGCCAGGGGCGGGGGATGGGGAGGCGCGAGCCCGCACCCTCTCGGGGGAGCCCGGGCCCAGCCGTGGCTCGAGCGTTCAACCAGGGGCGCCGGAGCAACCTTGACCCGCCTCGGGCACGCTCCCACCCCCGCCTGCGCCCGCACTCACTCGGCGCACTGTGTCCCCGTCCCTCGCCGACCCGCTTCCCGCGTCGGTCCGCGCCCTGGAGACGGCAGCCGGGGCGGTCACAGCCAGGGGCGGAGGCTGCAGGGGACCGGTGACCCGCGAGGGGCCGGGCGCGGAGGAAGAAGAGCGGGCGCTGGAGGGGGGAGGAGGGGCGGCAGGACATACTGTTCAAGGGCTGGTCGGGGCGCGGGCTGGACCTGAGATCTCCTGGTGTCCTGCCGCAGGTCAAGGTGGTCGCAGCCAGTGGCCCTGCGAAGGACGGGGTCTAAGAGGGGACAGAAGTTGGGGACCCATGTCCTAGGTCATCACTGGGGCATCGGAGGGACAGAGGTGTCCAAAGGGTGGATGTCCCAGCCTGGTACCGCCGCCGCGAGGTCCGCTGTGGACCGCACCCCAGCCCTAACCCGGTTTCCCATAGAAACCAAGTTGCGAAGGATGGTTGCGTCCGTCAACAACAGGCAGAAGCCGGAGGAGGGGGCTCTCCTGCCCACTGGAGAGGTTTCGTTGTGCGGGTTTTTTTCTTCCCAGGAGGAAGGCGGCGCCAGGATAAGGGAGGCAGCTTAGAGGCTGGGCCTGTGAGAGTTTTTGTGGAGAATATTGAGGAAAGAGATGCCAAAGCAGGTGCAGCTTTCGGAAGAAGTGGAGGGGAGAGGAAAAAGAGGCTTTTAAGAAATCTTGCTGTGGGCACTGGCTTGGGGGCTTGTAAATTTAAGGATTTAGGGGCAGAATAAAAGCCCCAAAGATATCCGTGCCCTAATCCTGAGAACCTGTGAATATGTTACTGTAGATGGCCGAAGTGACTATGCAGATGTGACTGAAGTTACAGACCTTGAGATGGGACTCTCATCTTGGATTATTCCCGCGGCGCCGGGCTAATTGCTTGAGTGGAGAACACGAAAGCGGAAACTTTCCCCGCTGGGTGAGAGAAAGAGACGAGAGATGAGGAGAAAAGTCCCAGAGATGCAATGAGAAGGGCTCCACCCGCTGTGGCTGACTTTAAAGATGGAGGAAGGAGGCAGCCTCTGGAAGCTGGGAGAGGTGTGGAAATGCATTCTCCACAGACCTCAAGAAGGAACCCAGCCCTGCCGACGCTCTGATTTTAGTTCAGTGAGATCCGTGTGGGACTTCTGGCCTCCAGAACTGTCAGATAATAAATTATCTCCATATATCTTAGAATATAGAATAGGCTCTTAATGGATGTTTAATGAAAGAATGAGTAAAAAAGAATTTGGATTAAACTAATTCACAGTAAACTGCAAATGGAAAATAGTCCCTTAATTCCTCCAGGGCTGGCTGTAGTTTTCTAAGTATATATTTTAAACCCAAATGGCTCTAATTTAAGGAATTTTTGGCACAACGTGAAGCAAAGAGATGGGGAAGGCCAAGGAGAGCCAGGAGGGTGTCTTGCTTTTGGACAGATAGGACTTTCCAGTGAGCATGCCCCAGGCGTCATGCCCTGGGTTGTTTCTGCTTTGTGCAGCCTCTCCCTTACCCTCTGGGCCCTAGACCAGCCTTCCTAAGACATCACCACAGAAAGGCAGTGAGGGAGGAGCAGTCTGGAGTGGGGTGAGAGGCTGCACTTGCAGGTCACTGAGGTGGACTCAAAGCCGACGCTTAGGGAGCAGAGAATGAGAAGGAAGGCCAGAGTCCAAGAGGATACAGATGGAGCGAGGGTCAGAAACTAGACGGACCATCAGAAATGAGATGAGGAGTTCTTATGTGCAGTGGGCAGGTTCTTAAAGGAACTGTAACACTAGGATTAGTTTTAGCTAAGAGTGACAAAAACCCATTACCACTGGTTGAAACAATAAAGAAGTTCATTTCTCTTTCATATAAATGGACTTCATGGGCTAGCGGTCCAGAGCTGCTGCAGAAGGTCCTAGATCATGAGGAATCCAGGCTTCTCCTACGTTATTGCTCTGCTATCCTCAATGTGTGACTTCTACCTCATGGCCCAAAATGGTTACTGAGCTCCAGCCATTTTGTTCCTGTTTCAGATAGAGGGAAGGAGAACTGGACAAAGAAAGGCACATTCTCTCCCTTTAAAGATGTTTCCCAGAAATTGCATGTATGCTTGTGCTTACATTTCATTGGCCAGAAATGATCTTACTTAGCTGCAAAGGAGGCTGGGAAATATAGTCTTTATTCCAGGCAGACACGTGCCCAGACGTGTGTCCAGACATGTACCAGCTGAAAACAGGAGCTTCTATTACCTACAGAAGAAGGGAAAGATGGTTATTGGGAGACAACTAGCAACCTGAGCCACACACAGCAGCTACCAGCTACCAGGAGCACGAGGATGGCCGGGGCAGCGGGTGGCATGGGTGCCGGTTTGTAAGTACTGTGTGGGTTCCTCATCCATTGAGCATTTGTTGCAGGGGCAGCCTGGAACTCAGTCCACAGCTGTTATCGTTTTAGGTGGGTCTCACCAGGGCTGAATTACCGGAGAGGCTAGGCGTGTGTTTTCGGTTCCAGCAAAACTGGGAGACGAAACAACAACAAAGGTGGGGAAAGAATTTGATATTGCATATTTCAAAAACACCTGCTCAAAGTAGTTTTGGGAAAAATGAGAACTTTGTCAGACTTCATTATCTGTATTTTGCTATGCGGTGTTGTTTTGGTTTGTGATTTAAGCACAGAGGGGAGGTGGCTGTGCTGTCATCTTTCTGGTTCTCTGAGCCCTGATGGGGCCCTCAGAACTCAGGTCAGGGTCCGCCCACCCCGCCTGCGCACCTCCACTCCCTGCTGAGTCCGGCCACTTGAACTCTTAGAATTCTTAGCAGGGCTCTGGGTGGATTTGGCTTCTGGGGGAGGGAGCTGTTCTGCTACTAGATACACAGGAAATCATATGCCAGATAGGAGGGAACCCAGGAGAACTCACGAGGGAGAAGACAAAGAAAGGAAGAAAGGAAAGAAAGGAGGCAAGTGAGAAGAGAGGGAAGAGAGACAAAGGAGGTGAGAGGTCAGAAGGGGAAGGGCTCACGGGCGGGCACCCCTGATGCGGTGGTTTGAAAATGCCTCCACAGAGATATCCACTTCTCTGTTCCAGAGGTGGAGCCTACTGCCCCTTTCCTTGAGTGTGGCTGGACCTGGTGACCTGATTCTAACGAATAAAATATGGTGGCAGCAACAGTGGGTGACAGGGTCATAAAAGGCATCACGACATCGTCCTTGCTCTCCCTTTGGGATCGCTAGCTCCAGGAGAAGCCAGTCACCAAGTCATGAGGACACCCCAGCAGCCCAGGAAACGCCCATGTGGCGAGGAACTGAGGCCTCCAGCCAACAGCCATGTGTGTGAGACGTCTTGGAAGCAGAGCCTTCAGGCCCAGTGAAGCCGTCAAGTCTCTGCAGCCTGGTGAGAAACCCTGAGCCAGAGCCACCCAGCGGAGCCGCTCCCAGAAGCCTGACTCTCAGAGGCCGTCTGAGATGATAAGGGTTTGTGATTTAAGCCAGCATGTTTTGGAGTAATTTGCTCCACCACCAATATATATCCAACACACCTATGAACTTCTTTCTCAATAATGGAAGATTTACAGAGACCTAAGGGGAACATGGCCGAGCTGCTGGTGGTGACCAATATCCATTCCCCACTTCTCCCTTGCTAACAGAACTCAATTTGGCATGTGGGCCAGTAAGCCAGGCTAGGAAGACGACATTCCCCAGCCTTCCTTACATGTGGGGTAACCATGTGATGCGGCACTGGCCGACGAGACGTCACCTCAAGTTGGTGGATGAAGCTCCCAGAAAGCCCTTTAAAAGGAGGCAGACCCAGGTGGCCTGAGCTTTTTGTCTTTTGTTCTTCCATTTCCTCTCACTTGGGATACGGTCACTGTGCTGAAAGTGAAGCTGCCATCCTGCACGTACAGAAGGACCAGATGTCAAACATGGCCCGGATGGCTGAGAAGATGGATGGAAGGAGATGGGGTCTCTGATTGCACCGTGGAGCTGCTGAACCTGTCTAGGCTGCCCGCCTCTGGGTTCTCATTACGTAAGGAAAGGAACACCCCAATTTATTTAAGGCAAAGCCATTCAGATTTCTGTTACCCATAGCATATGGGGATTGATAGAAATATGAGCTCCTTGATGGACCTATCTTCAGAAAATGTGCAAACATTCAATTCCAAAATTTAAAAAAGCATGTGGTGAGCAGGTTTCACATTTTTGACTGGGATTGTTTCATCGAGAATTTGTATTGTTGACCTGTCTCTGCAGCACACAGTAACTGTTGTGAAGAGAGCGGGGATTACAGAGGCAAGAAATTCTCAAGGAGAACGCAGGATTTTAACTGGAGACATGAAAACCGGCCTTGCTGGCAGCCAGACCTGGTTTCCCAGCTGCATGTAAGCGATGCTCAGACAAACCTCCCACCCCGCGCCATGTTTGGAGCTGGACGGAGACAAGACCATTCCCCAAACACAACAGGGACTAAATGTCTCTCTATTCTGAGGAATCTGAGTGATGCTGCCCCTTCACCAATTACAACCAACTCGAGTGCTCTTCCTTCTGGGGAAGATCAGATAGCCCGTTACCAAATTGCTCTCCTCTTCTTGACAGCATCCCATCTAGCAGCCCCCTCACTTCCTCCTGCCTCCTGAGAATCACCAGCACGAGCCCCTTCCTATGAAAAGCCCCTCCCAGCGTCTTCTTCCTGGGCCTGGGGGGGCTTTCGTTCCTGCTACAGCAAGACCGGTAAACCTCATGGCTTTTTTCTTTGACTGCGGTAATCTTCGGTAAGTGGGCTTTGCCAGAACACCTCCAAGAGGGAGCTTTAAGCGCCTCCCACTCAAAAATAGAGGTGCAGGAATTGGGGCAAGGAGCTACCAGCAGACCGCAGCCCTGCAAGGGGCTGGAACTGTTGCTAATTCACTCAACCTTGGTCTCATATAACTGTTCCTCCAGCTATGTGTCTGTTTCTTCCAGCACTGACTGGAGAGATGAGGGAAGGACAGTGGACTCTGAGCCTGGAGCCGCCGCCTCCCCCAGCCCAGCAGCCCAACCAGAGTTCTCAGGAAGCTCCCCTTGCCTGTTTGCTCCTTCCAGAGCCCTCGTTCAGTCCTGAAGGGACCTACGGGAAAAAGAGGCAAAACCGTCAGTGAGGAGACAGTGAGACCCTTCATCGGCGGGGAAGAGGGCATTTCTTCCAGGGTATGCTTAGAGGG